CCATATCCGGTGAGCCACAGGAGCTGTTCCTCCACAGTAAAGCGGCCTCTTAACTCCATGTAAATTGTAGCACGCATTGTGAGTGAGTGGAGTTATACATACACTCCATCTCGTCTTTAGTTAAGCAAGGACGCTGTAGGTGGCCGCGCCCTAGCTCAAGCGGTTAGTCGCTGGCTTCCTATCGCGGCGGCCCGGGTTCGATCCCGGGTCTGGTCAAGTGGGATTTGTGGTGGACAAAGTGGAGTTTGGGCAGGTTTACTCCGAGTACTTCGGTTTCCCCTGCCAATCTTCATTCCACCAATTGCTCCACAATCACGCTCATCTATCATCTGGGGCTGGTACAACAGGCCACAAGTGGCCGTAGTACAAGGGACTTAGTCCCACCCCACTAGCCATAAAAAAAAAGGAAACTGTATATATTTAGACAGAACGACAGTGTGAAGGATTGGTATAACAGCTACACGTACCATGTAGTGTGATCTTGGTAGCTCCATGTGTAAACTGTCTAAATTCTACTTAGAAATCTAAAGAACTGTGTGTTCCGTAAGCGGAGCTGTGCTGAAAATCCAATGTAGTAATTAGCACTACTGATTTTGGTCTGATGATCGTTTCGGATTCCAATTCGGATTCCGAAATCAGATCTTCTGACACTTTTTATAATTTTTCTAAGTATCTGCAGACCAAAAATAGGAAATAAATTTAAAATAAAGTATATTCGCTTTTATTCACGTCGCTTTTAAATAATCTTTCTTAAACAATCTTATCTCTAGACGTTATAAAGTTGACGAAGAAGAAAATAGGCAGGAAATAAAGTAGGCTAATCATACATGTGGGGTGTGTAATTGGGAGGGACAATGTTTGCAACATTAACTATAATTAGGTCAGTTCTGCATAAGTATCTCTCATTTTAAACTGCAGATAACTGTGTATACTTTTTCAGCATGGTTCAGTGTAACACAATTAAAAAAGGTGGCTGTGAAATTAACTGTCCCGTCACTTCCCAAACGTTCGTCGTTTTGTATAGGTTGTAGGGGTTGCGTTGTGTTTTCACATAACGTTTGATCGTTAACTCTCTATGGTCGGTTAACCTCATCGCGTTTGAATTACTAAAGCAATTTTGTTGTAATTAGTGTATCACATTTCATTCCTAATGCCCTACAAAACGTGCATAATTAACATACTTACAGTAATCCTGAAACACTCCAAAATCCATTTCTTCGTTTCCAGGAGATACGTAATTGCATTGAGCATAGTGTTATACACCGCCTTTGTGGTCTAGTGGTCAGATCCAGAAGTCCGGGTTCGTTTTCCGGCGCTACCACATTTTGTGAGAGGTAGTGGGTCTGGAACGGGGTCCACTCAGCCTCGTGATGATAATTGAGAAGCTATTTCAAGGAAATAGCGGCTCCGGTCTAAAGAAACCGAAATTAACTGCCGTGGGGATTCGTTGCGCTCACCACGCGACATCCTCTGTCCACTAAAGTTGGCACTAACTTCGCCGACAAGCAGCGGTCGCTCGGTCGGTATAGTTCGCTTGCGGACTAAAACCACGGAGTTTGTTTTTATAGTATTGTACAAAATAAATAAACCTTGTGTGTTCTTTAGCTATATCATTTCTTCCTACCTTTGTTTATTTCTCTCTATCGTTCCTTCCATTCTTTGAAAGAAGAAATACAAGAAACACATTAAAATTTTTTACAAAATCAAGGCATTAATTTTTCTGCATTAAACTTTTAGTATGGATGATGTGGTTAGGCATCTATAATAAAATATATCTTTCTTGCTATGCCGTGACCTAATAATCAATGGGAGCTGTAACAGAATTTGAGAGTGATCCATTGTCTAGCAGCTTACCAATTAAAACGCCACCTCTCGCAAAATTGGACAGCAAAAGAGCGATAGAATGAATTACAAAAACTGATGAACCAAAAGCCACGCGCGGAATTTGGGCCGTTAAACTTGTGTGTCAGTTATTTAATAACAAATAATTGTAAAATACTACAAAGGACTGGGTACACTCTAATTAGAAAGCTGATTTGCATCCATTAATTTCCCCCATCGTTGCTTGAATAAAATTCAGCCCCTGCCCTATGAACGTGATTAGGATTGTTTATGAACAATATCATGTTTTATCCATAGGATGAGGTACACAATCGAATTGATTTGCGGATTCAACTGTATGTATGCATGTCAGTGTACATAAACCTGAGTAAGTTCCNGTGGGAACTCGGTGTATTAAGGATTGTTTTCGGTTCGTTAATTAATGACGCCATCAGGGTTCACACTACACACCACTATACACTGTCGCGTCATAGGATGATTGATGAATGATCAATTGGAAATATTTGAAAACAGCTGTGGTGGCCTGGTCGAGGTTTTATCTACGACTTATTTAGAGGGACTGAGGAAAAACATGAAGACCCTCAGTATATCCAGTCTCCGAAGCTGATGCCTTCAGAATATGAAGAAGAGGTGCTATCNTCGCAAAATTGGACAGCAAAAGAGCGATAGAATGAATTACAAAAACTGATGAACCAAAAGCCACGCGCGGAATTTGGGCCGTTAAACTTGTGTGTCAGTTATTTAATGAGGAATAATTGTAAAATACTACAAAGGACTGGGTACACTCTAATTAGAAAGCTGATTTGCATCCATTAATTTCCCCCATCGTTGCTTGAATAAAATTCAGCCCCTGCCCTATGAACGTGATTAGGATTGTTTATGAACAATATCATGTTTTATCCATAGGATGAGGTACACAATCGAATTGATTTGCGGATTCAACTGTATGTATGCATGTCAGTGTACATAAACCTGAGTAAGTTCCCTCTTCCAGTTGTTACACGAAATTTTGCCAATATTAATACCGTCTTTCCATCTCTCTCTAATTCTTCCAATTAACCATATCCAAAATCATTTTCTCACTCATATTTCTTATACGTTTGTTACCTTCAGCATCTCAAGGATGTCGAATTGCAAGCTAGGCTCTGCTGTAACCCCTGCGCACGCTGCAGTCCCTGTCTCACTCAGTGGACTCAACCAAACCCGCAGCGAATTCTATTGAGAAGAACTAAGTATACAAACATGGAGAGCAGTTCTGTACTCCTCAAGCGCTCAAGAGAGAGTGCCATAAATTCTCTTTAAGCATAATGCTTATCGATATTTCTTACGTCTCCTAAAGGAACTGGAGTTCAGGATATCGACTTACATTTATTTTCAATTAATGACCAGCTTTCTAAACAGCATGTACACTACTAACCACAGAGAAGCGTGTTATAACAGGATTAAAGGGAGGTTTGCCCGAGTGTGTTAATTCTGACGGACGATAACCAGGAGTAGTGAATTAGTGTAATGCATTATGCAAATCAGATGACGTGTAGCCCTTGGCTGGGACTTAACTACATTTGCAATAAAGCATTGGCTTGTGGACACAGACGTAATATGACAACTGGGCTGAAAACTCGACAAACTATTTGTCTTCATTGTTCTTACAGGTGCAAATTTGCATCTGTTTGTTTCTCACCCAGTGCAGAATAACTTTGTCTGTACGCCATGTTTCAATGCATGTGCAGTAATCCTGAAGACGTTAATATAATCTTAAAAATATTTTAATTATTTCCTGAAGCATACGTATATATACATTGTACACTAATTACATTTCAATCAAAGTCGATAGAAAGTAAAAAGTAAAGCTATCCCTGTACCAGGCCGTGAATGCCCATAGGATTGTGAGACGTTGAGGGTCCCACCCTATCTAGACAATCGGCTCAAAGATGGCGGTAAAGTTGTCAGCCTTACGCGCCGGCCGCCTTTACTCCCCAGGAAAATTATTTAATTAATTCCTGTTACTCATTTCTGTTAGAGGCTGAGTCAACCCCACGGCCATAGTGCGGCCGGAAGGATTAGGTCAATTGAAAAAACTCCAATGAACTCATCAGGACTTGAACCCGCGACCTTCCGGCTTGTAGCATAACCCCTCAACCAACATATGATAGTACGATATATGTATTAACCGTTTGAACGAAAAGATTAAAGAAGTAACGGGTGTGTTTTAGTTTCGAATCGGCAGTGGTTACAGTAGGAAATATTAACAGCTGAAACTTTAAAGTTAGAGACACTTTCCAAGCAGAAACTAATAATTTATATGAAAGAAATAACTCCTTTCTACTGATATATTGGATTTTTTGACTTCATCCATCGTNGTAGAGTCGATGAGAATTTGAAAAAGTAACTATCTACAGGAAATTAATTGATATTGAATTGCACACAATAGAATCCAGTCTGGTTAAACAAGTCTATTGCTGGCAGATGTATCGAGCTAGATAGCTCAGCTGGGTCGTTCAGTATCCTGATAACAGCTCTTTGTGGTTTTCTTGCTTCATCTAGGAGGACATCAGAATAGCCCTTAGATAAGGCCACGATCGCTTCTTTCCCCTCCTAATTCATATTCCTAATCATTCTACCATTCGACTCTTAAGTCTGAGATTCTGACTTTCGTACAGTTCCCCTCTGGTAGTCGTGTAAATGTACGTAATGAGAGATCAATTCAGTTACTACAATCTCGAAATTGCCTTTATTATCTCTGACTTTATACTTGCTTCTTTTTCAGCAGAAGTTTGTAAGTTTTTGTATATGTCTTATACAGTAATATCTCGCACTCTAATAGTCTTTTGCTTATTTTTATTCGAAGGTTCACAATTCAGCGTGTTGCAAACATTATGATAAATATAATTGTTTTTAATCAAAGGTTTGAGATAGCTATTCGACAGTGTTTATCATGCTAATGTCCGTTTCAAGAACTTCCATTCTCGCCAGGACAAACAGTGTTAGATATCCTTCGTTCTCGTTGTGTTTACGTGGAATTTATTTATATATAGCAATGTTAGTTACTTATTGAAATATAATGTCAGAACCCCCACGTCCAGGCCCCATAGCCAGTAGCCTATACTGTGTCTATCGTCTAGCATATTTCTGAAGGAGAATATTCTTACGTGTTTCAGGCCGTATCAGATCTTCTGCTGGGAGTGTTCTGCATGCCATTTACCCTGATAGGACAAGTTCTCCGCAACTTCGTGTTTGGAGCCGCCATGTGCAAGTTGATTTCCTTCTTTCAAGGTAAGGAAGAGGTTTTCTGGCTGTGGGAAATTCGCAGATGTTGTATAATGCATAGACTGCCGTCTTATGAGATGTGACTTCTTGTGCTTAGGTAGAAATGGGCTAAAATTTGTTTTACGGCGCTGTCTGTGTTTCAGACCACACAGGGTAAAACGTTACAATGGCTGGTAAATAATGAATTGGAGAGCATTTGGAAGGAAACGGTAGCGGTGTAATCAACATTCGTCTCGCTGGATTTGGGTAAACCATGAAAATTACATGTCAGTGAGGATATCGGCGTTTCCAACATAGCATCTCACCAATACAGGTCCAGAGTAGTGCCGCTACATTAACTCGGCCATTAAACCATCAGTTCTGAAGAGAGTGCTCTCTCTATCTTCAGGGTAGTTATCTTGAGTATGGAGGCAGCAGGTTCCTTCGTAACTTCTAAAGTAAATTAAGGTATGCCTGTAACAGACCGTGGAGGCCCATAGGGTTGTGAGGTGTTGAGGTTCCTATATTTTCTAGACAATCAGTTCATAGATGGCGGCAAGGTTGTCAGCCTTACGCGCCAGCCGTCCCTTACCCCCAAGAATATTCCAAGAATATTCCTGGTACTCATTTCTGTTAGAGGCTGAGTCGACCCCAGGGTCATAGTGGGGCTTGGAAGGATTAAATAAAGACTAAGTAAGAATTATTACATTACATTATTTATTATACTGCAATTGGGTTTTAGCCCGGTGGCAGTAGTACACAATAGGACACAACAGACAAGTAACACACATTACACTAAGTGACAACACGTTCAAACAAAACACAATACACAAAACACAACAATAAGGACATCCTACCACAGTGAATACAAACCAAATATGATTAACAACTACAACAATTACTTTTTTTTTGAGGTTATACCTTCTTTTATTACCATATATTTCTCTCTTCCTATTTGTAGGAATGGCAGTGGAAGATGCAGTGTCAGCAAAGCTAATATATGATGAATACAAAAAAATTAAAAAATTATAATAGTTCAAAATTTTAGTGGAACTGTATACTTTTCCACAATATAATTCGCAAAAACAAAATAAACAATTTACTTTACTCAGCCGAGTTCCCTAAAACGTACATTGTTTCAATTTAATTAATTTTAGATTTAGAGGTATATTTTGTTTGAAAATATTAATCCTGTGAAACAGTAATAAGTTTTTTTTTTCATATTTGAACGGTTTCACATCCCAGAATAAAGTAAACATTCAAGCTGTGAAAACTTCTAATCTTACACTGTATAACGCAGTTTTATTTATATTAAAAGAATAAATCCTTTGCGAACCACGGAGTTTAACTATCAACGGTTTTAAATTTGAAAAGTTAATTCCTCTTAAACTGCTCGGTATCACAAGGGTACTTAGTTAGATTGTTCTACCCAAACTGCGCTATAAGAGAACATAAAAGTAACCCTGAGAGGTGTCCGTTATGCCTGTGTTCATTTGGTATATTCTCAAAACTTTGCCGTTTCTACAGTTTCAGTTATTTTTAATTAACCGTTTTCACTTTCTTTTTGTGGAATATTCTCTTTTGCCATCCGCTATGTATTTTTCATGTATCCACGTTTTTTTTATTTGTGTAATCCTTGGCCCAGGGAGAGGATAAGTACAGCCATTGTCTCGTCATTAATGCAGAGGCCTTCATCATGGATTTGAGCTCTCAGTACACTGACATCTTGGAGACACGTAATACAAGCGATTATGTCGCAGCTCTAACACTTAATTTACAGGAAGCGGCCTCCGTAGTCTAGGGGTAACGTTCCCACCTCATGACTCAAGGTACGCGGGTTCAAACCCGGCGGAGGTGGTGGAATTTTTAAGGGCGGAAAAATTCAGGGAACAAGTCCTCCGGGAGGGACTTTAAGCCGTGGGTCCCGTGTCGTAGATTTACGGCGCGTAAAAGAACCTCATGCCTCTAGGAGGCCTCTGAGCTAAATTAGGCCAAAAAGTTTCCCGCCCGAATAGTTTCCAATGCCTCCGATAGATGGAGAAGTATTAGATACCACTGCCAGAGGAGGGACGATCTCTCTGAAAGAAAGGGACTAAATTATTAGGTACCACTGCCAGAGGAGGAACTAACTCGCTGACAGAAAGGGATTAACTATTAGATACCACTGCCAAGTAGAGGGTAGAAACCTCGCTGGCAGAAAGGGACTGATAGCGAGCACCAGTATCAGTAGGGGATGCGAGACGGTAGAAATTAAAAAAGGGGGATGTACAAGAGACTATCAGTCGCGGTGCATGGGGAAACCCACCCCCTCAATACCGAATCACTGACTGAATTTACAGGAAATTTACTTATTATTTTCATGCGTGTCATTGTATGTACAGTATTATTCGTGTATTTAGCAGCGGAACAGGTTCCCTATTCTTTGAATTGCTGGGTTTTTGGACTTTGCCCATCGTCCGGTATTCTAGAAACTAGAAAAGGCAACGTTTCGGAAACTGTATTTGCTTCCATCCTTAGGTGGGGGGAAGACACCTACTGTGTTGGGTCCCTTAGGAAGAGCTAACATTAATCATCATCATCAGAACCCTTCAGAATCTACTTACTTATAATTTTATGACTATTTACATCTCAACTTCCCATTAGACCTCAATTTTTCCATTAGCGTTTTATTTGAGGAACGTAAACCGTGTTATTGCCGAGTTATGGCTGTAGACCTTGAAAGTTCTTTGATCCTGATTGTAATAATTTATGTGTATATCAGTAACACCAAGATCCTTATTGCCGAAAGGAATTTTAATATTTGTTTACGTTCCGTGCATGTGTTGAGATTACAACTCTTGTCGTGTCTCTGTGTCCACCTTTCAAATTTTGAACAGGTTGACCGAATATCATGGAAATTGACTTGAAACTTGGTCATTGTTGGCCATGCCAATCTAATATATCTTAGTACCCTATAATCTCCAACCACTACAATGGTAACTCACAGAGTTGTGTAGAGGGAGCGATACAAATATTGGGGGGTAAAATAGCGTAGGCCTATGGTAATATATCTTCAGAAAGGTAACCAACATCTGTTAAGGTATTATTTTTAGAGTTTCCATCAATATAGTGGCCATGGGACTTCTTTCATTTCACTTTAAATTTGGCAGCTTTTTTTATCTTTAGATCATTAGAGCCATCAATATGACATATTATATGAAATTATATAATTCAAATTCCTATTGCTTATGTGTGGAATGTAGAATTTAAGGCTCTCACATCGGTTGTTGGGATGAGTTCTGTCCTCTGGAATACAGAGACGTGTAGTCCGATAAAAGTTAACTGATATTTCGGAGGAACATATGGCCTCCATCTTCAGGGCCGAAAAGTAAGTGAAGAACCAGCATGAAGCAGACTACTTGCCTGTCGGTTGACTTTCACCGGGATAGACGGCATTGTATCCCAGAAAATAGAATCATTTTGTATGAAATACTTAAAAGTTATCAATTTAGAATATAGTGACAATTGAAAATTTCCAGGTCATATTCGACCAATTCATTACATAGTATGATCTTAAATAATAAAGTTACCCATAATAATAATAATTCCGCTTTTTATTATTTATGTGTCTATGAGGCCAATTACAGCCACAACACAGTGTAGATACTGGTGAATCACATTAATGACAAACACAACATAAATCGATGACAAATTACAAGGAAGCACTGGAGGAAGAAAATATATTAACACAAGAAAAGTGAAAGAAACAAACAAAGATGAAGAGAGGTAATAAGAACATGATAACTAAGGATTACATAACATAGAACATTAGGATTATGAACAAATATTATTAATAATTTTAGGTTGATTATTATAAATGTTTTTGAGAGAAGCCTTTCCGATTGCAAGTATTTTGAGATCTTTACACATTACATTGACAACATAGGCGCACTGAGTAGAAGGACGATGTTTATTGGAGTTACAAACACCAGACAATGAAAAGTCCCTGAGATTATTGCTAGGAATATGAAGTCTAACACTTTTCATAATGATAATAATAATAATATAATAATCATCATTTTGTTGAACCACCAACGGAGAATCAAAATAAAGATCCGTTATGAATAAAATGTCTTTTAGACTCAGTGCTTGAGTTCAATACATTTCCAAGTGTAATCGAATGTATTGGACTACTTACACAAATTATTTGACAGCGTATATCAGCTTTTGAATTAGTTTTGAATTTACGTAAAAAATTGTGAGCATCCACCCAGCTCGACAGCAATTTTCTGTCAGACGCTGCGCTATATTTGACACAAAAAGGAGAACATTTCATCATACTTAGCACCAAAAATAACCTTTGAGCCACTAACTCTAATTAAATTTTGTTATTTGCGAACTCAACTGGTGCAGCAGCCAATAGCAGAGTTAGCACAGTCAACCAAATAAGAAGTGCACAAATCAATCGAGAGAGGTAGGACAGATAATCTGCTGCATAGTAAAGCCAGGACAAGCATAATTTTACATCATTGAATGTAGTAAAATATAACTATCTAATAACCCTTTAAAGCTTAGTACCATCTGCTTTAACATAATAAAACTCTGTAGTCTGCCCACAAAATAAATTTGTGTTTCGTATGGCTATCACACTGGCCGGTCACGGTAGCCGAGAGGTCTAAGGTCTTCGCTCGCTCGGAAGCCGGGATCGTGGGTTCGAATCCCACTCAGGGAATGGATGTTTGTGTGCGTTTTTCTGTGTTTGTGTACAGGTAGAGGCCTTGCGACGAGCTGATCACCCGCCCAAGGAGTCCTACCGTATATCTAAGATCTAGAAAAACCGAAGTGAACGGAGAAGTTCATGGAGGTAGGCCTATGCCCACTGGGGCTGTAGTGCCAAGGAAAAAAGAAATGGCTATCACAGTAAAGACCAATTGTTTCTCAGAAGAGCATAACCTGTCGATCTTTCTAGCGGAGATGTAAAGTGTTTCCATTATGGTACGGACTAAATATCTGTATATTATTTATAATAAATTCAGTATTTGACGAAA